ACATAGAGTATTTATACAAAATGGAGCAGTACTCGGCTATAAAGGATAAGCTTGAAACATCTGTAGGTAAATAGATGCACCTTGAGATTTTAAAGGAAATAAATCAGTTTAAATATCACATGATTTCTCCTATTTGAGAAATCCAAAATATAAATAAAGAGCAAAATAAAAGACAGGTAATAGGAAGCAGGGAGATCTTTTTCAAATGGGAAGGAGAACAAGAGATGGAAGCGGGAAAGCAGGAAGGGAAAAAGAATTTTTAAAAAAGAAAGAAAAAATAGCAATAGAGCTTTTTTCAAATAGTAAGGTGGTCAGGAGTTGCAGTAGCAAAGGATGGGAGGGGAAAGGGACAAAATGTACGCATGTACAAACTCCCTGCAATAAATGTAGTCATTATGTACTGCAAACATGTTCTAATAAAAATACATTAAAAAGTGAGACAGTTTAAAATTACCTTTCATGTTGGAAAAAGTCTAAAAATGTTTGAGAATCCAGTAATATTTAAAATAAATGGTACAAAAAATAAAATGGTATGTAAGTCATTTCAAATTTTTGGTTTTAAGTTCTTAAAACAATTTGCCCTAAAATTTTTTAAAATTATTTTTTCCAAGAACTGTATGCTCAGGATTTTAACCTTTTAGAATTTGAATACTGAGAATTACAGCAATTTACATGTTCCTCAATTTCAGGAAAAGTAATTTCAGAGCTGCCAAATCTCTCTCCCTTTAAATTTAAGCTATATATTGAATTGTTTTTTTAAAGTTGTGGAACACAATGGAATTTTCTTCTTACACATCAAATGAATTTTTAAATCTGTTGCTTACTGTGGACTTTATAAATGTAATAAGTACTTGATACATATGTGTGTATATTTTTTAATAATTAAGATGACCTGGGAATATTAATTTAAACCAAGAAGAATCCATGTCATGTTGATACTTTCATTTGCCTTCCTTGTTATTACTATATATCCAAGAAAAGTATCAAATTATAGAAAAAGTCCCCTCATGTACTTGGACTTCCAAATACAAAGTTTTGCTGATATATTCTTACTGCAATGACATAATGACTTTTAGTGTACATAACAGGCATGCAATTAGTAAACATTTATTTTTTAAATTAAAACTACAATTTAAAAGGTTCAAGTTAAGCAGCAGTTCAAAGTGAAATTTATATTTGCATTAAAAAGAAGTATGAAAGGAAAGGCAACTGATTCTATTCTAATTTACAAAACCATTTAAAGAACCTAAGTGGGATATTTGCTTAAACAGAAATAATAAACAGAATGGATGACCACTTACCAAGGATGTTGTTGATGGGAGTTCTATAGGATATGGAGGTTAGACTAGTGTTGAAGGATTAATAACCCCTTCCACTTCTAGAATCTTACAATTCTACAGTTTTCCCAGCAGTTCTGTTATTAAGAAAAAATTAGTCTTTGCCATTACTCCCAGATTATGTTACAGAGAAATGAAAATTTTAGCATCTTACTATTTGTGCTTAAAGTATATTTCAACTTTCAGAATATGCGGCAGGCTGGGGATGTAGCTCAGCTGCACAGCGCCTGCCTGGTAAGCATAAGGTCATGAGTTCAATTCCTGGTAAGCCTTCCCCCGCAAAAAAACCAAAATAAAACAAAACAGAATATGCTTCAATTCACACCTATCTTCTTCCCCTTTGTTCCAGATTGAGACTCTATCCCTACTTGTTTCAGACTGAGTTTTGCCATGCTTGAATACAACCTATTTTAGCCTGTGTGCTCTACTCTCTTGGCAACATTACCAGTAAAGTATAAAATAAATTTTAAGATATCCAACCAAGTTACATCTCAAATTCAGAAATAAACCTTGCATCTCAAATTCCCTTGTTAAACTAAAGTAAACTTATTTAACTTATTTAAATGGAAGTAGTTGGTATATATACTGCTTGCTCAGTTTTCTTCAAATGGGGATTTATGTCTGTCATGAAACAAAGTAGCTTCAGGTTAAATAATAATGTTAAGATGCTATGGAATTATGATTGCATTTACAATCTAGCCTGGATTCCTGGTTCTGGACATATATACACAGAGTAGATGTTTTTATGTAGAAGACAATTTAGGCTAAAGATACACACTTTCCAGTATATTTACCCACATACCTTTCAGGGATTGCTGGAGAGATAAAATATAAAAAATTCAAGATTTTGAAGCTTCTAAAAACAGCTGAGTTCTAACAGTAACCTGTAAAAGTGCTCTCACTAACAGTTTGTTCTAAACAATGTTATCAGACTAGGTAAATAATCTAAATATTATTTTCTATTTTTGAGATACTGGTTCACAATGTATTTAAATCTCTGTGCATCAAATCACTACCTACTGGCAGCATGGCAGTCAACTGAAATTAAAAAACAGGTCTACAAAAGACACTTCTGAACATAATTGTTTTACATCTTTAATACTGTCTTAAAGGTCTACTACTCTTTAACTAGCTCAGTATAGCCCAAAATAGAAAATAATTATAGTTGGAACAGTTACTCTAAATCTAAATAGGTAATCCCTATAGCAATATTTTACTCAGAACATATTTTCATTTCAAATATATGTAAAATTTCTCACAAAGTCAGAATATAACATACATTCTGAACAGAAATCGCAGTGTTTAAGTCTCAACATTCAGTAAAACCAACACTACATATTAGGTTGCTTTTGGATATAGATCATTTAAGTAAATGAGATATAATTTCCAACTTGTGTTAAAAGTGAAAAAATAACTTTTTCTGTGAAGTCTTAACCAAAATCAACCAGTCAAATGCAAAATTACCATATTATGATACAAATCAAATTCCATTCTCGAGACATTTATTGGAGATATGAACGCAGATATAATCACAGTTGAGAAACTGAGGCTCCTTCAGCTAGGGGGTAATGAAAAGAAAACCTTAGCATGGATCAGGTATCAATTTTCACTTCAGTGATGATAACACTTTGTTTATTAAAAAATGTTTTTTTCACTGAGGATATACATTTGATTTTTTAATGCTGGGGAAAATGTAGTGGCTGTCTTAAAAATCTACTTCTATACAGTTATGTATGATTAGATATGAAATGAATCTTTTCTTTTTTGAAGACAGCCAAATCTTTTTTTATCAAATACTGACTTACCAATTTATCCTTGACAAATGATCCTTAGAAAGATAAATGAACCTGCTAATTTTACAAATACGAATGTGTGTAGATATACCTATTGAGAGGTTATGGCCTTTCGTCTGATCCATATTTCTGATTTAAAATGTAACTAAGTTCTCTCAATAAAGAGCATTAATTTTTATAACAAATGATCTTTACTGCACTGTTCTCATTCTACTTTTATTTTTAATTATTTCTATAAATACTCAAACAAAAATCTCCAACCTTGAAACCAACTTACATTGGCAGTCTGAGGCTTATTTCAACAACTTTTAAAATATTTTGTTAAAATGTAAAAACTCTGAAATTACAAACAAAAAATTACAATTTACAGTATATAGCTAATATTTTTTTAAAAAAATATTCTGAATTGTTTTTATGCAAATAATCAAGTGTTATTTTTCAAATGAAAATTCCCGTATAGGCTAAAAGAGGATATACGGTCACATTTACATATTTTTGCCCACATTTACATATTTTACTTTTTTATGCTGGTACTTCAACGATTTCAAAGATGTCATTAGGTAGAATCACATAGCCTCTCTCTGATACGTCATCTTTCTCCTTCTGGAAGTGCACGACCTCTTTTAATTTTTCAAGCTGTCGTTCTTGTCTTCTGCATCGCTGCTGGGCAGTCTTGAGCTTCTTCCTGAGTTTTTCCACTTGCTGTTCAAGCTGATGAATCCTTTTCCTCTGGTGCATTGTATCCTCCACAGTATAGTTGTGGTCACAGAAAACTGACAGATTATCAGGGGTCTGAAGAGGAGGCATCAGTAATCCAATCGCAGCATCAACCTGGGAAATGGGAGGTGTCGAAGGAGGTGGGGGAAGCTGTTCTTGTGGCTCCAAATCTTCTTTCTAAAACAGTAATATAGAGCATGTATGAATTTATCAACTAAACATAATAGCTTGAAAGAATCCTGTGGAATATCAGAAGTATTAGGAACATTCCAAAATAAGAAAATACTTTGTCTTTTCTCTTTGAAGTTGAAAGGAGATGCAATCAGGAAACTGAATAATTTTTTTTTTTTTTTTTTTTTTGCCTTTTTGAGACAGGGTCTCGCTATGCAGTTCAAGCTGCACTTAAGCTCAATTCTGTAGCCCAGACTGGTCTCAAACTCACAAAAATCCTCCTGCCTCTGCCTCCCGAGTGCTGGGATTACAGGCATGTGCCACCATGCCCAGCTTAAATAATTTTATTTAAATAATACTCAGCACTTTAAATGGAGGGGGAAAAATAATTAGAAATTTAATTGTCACTGAGAAAAAACAAAGCCAAAGTTGTCAATACACAAGTAGGAATATAGAGTACTTTTTAAACAAAATACAAAAATAAATTGAGTTTCTTAGTGTGAGAATGTTTAATAAACTAATCTTCTGCATTTTTAAAAATGCATCACTGTGGCTGGGCACTGTGGCACATGCCTGTAATCCCAGCTACTTAGGCTATGACACAGGAGGATTCCAAGTTTGTGGTTAGTCTGGGCAACATAGCAAGACCCTGTCCAAATTAATTAACTAATTGGGTTAGGGGTGTAGCTCAGTAGTAGATCACTTTAATGCCTGGTACTAGAAAAAAAAAAAATCACTGTTAAAAGTGGTTATTTACAAGTGATGGGCTCCAGGTGCTCTTGTTTTCTTACCCTTTTTCTGAGTTTTCCAAATTTTCTACAATGAACACATTAATTTTACAAACAGAAAACAACATTTAAAAGCACATATTACCTTGTCATGTGGCTCGGTACAAAGAAATATGGTGGGTACAGCGTTCTCTTTCAGTAACTTGTTGTTGCATTCCCTCTTAAAGCAATCTGGAGTAAAGTGCTCTGAACAAATACTGCTGTACTTGGTGGGCTTGAAGTTTTTTCTTCTGACAGCTGCTTCCCATTGTTTACAAAGACTGGGTCGAGTAAGAGGAAATCTAAGAAAATAGAATACAGTTCTCTGACATTGTTAAAAGTAAATAAAAGCACTAAATTTTCCAGTTAACTAAAGAACTATTATACATAGATGTTAGCATGCTTAGAGTACTAAAGACTAGATCAAGTTATCTATCTAACTGATTAAAGTCTAACTTTTTATGTTGAGAACACTAAAAGGTTCAAACAAAATATATACTATAGGATTAAACTGTATTTGTATTTTTTACACTTGATCTTAACCAAAAGGCCAAGAAGTAATTGTATTTGTATTTTTTTACCAGTAATTTTTTTGTGTGTTACACAGAAAAACAAATGTAGCATATTTATACCTATGGCCTGGGGAAAAGAGACTTCTAGTTCTTTTACTTAAAATCACTCCAACAAATGTTAGTGGGCTAAATTTGAATTAATGGAGCCACTCCAGAACCCCTCCTGGAAATCCAGGAGTTACTTTCCTTATTTCAAATAAAACCTCTCACTGAGTGTGCATGGTGGCGCACACCTGTAATCTCAGCGCTCAGGAGGCTGAGGCAGGAGGATCATTTCAAGTTCCAGACCAGCCTGGGCTACAACATGAACTCAAGGCCAGCCTGAACTGTATAGCGACACCCTGTCTCAAAAAAATATACAAACAAAAAACCTCTCTTAACCTCCTCTTTTGGTTTGCAACTACATTTCTGGGTATTTGTGGAACCACAAGCCCAGTACACAATGTATTATTTGGGGGCCCATCTGGGACATGAGATTAATAGGAGGTAAGCCCCAAAAGGGAGTTTATATTATCCTTTTCTCTTTTTGCAACATGTTCTTGTTAAATGTGATTCCATTAAGGAGATAAAGATTTGTGCTGTCTTTTTACAGCATAGTCCTACAGCCTTACGTCTCTACTGTCATTTTCTTGGGGTAGAGCAGATTGAGAGAACAATATGCCTCATATAAAAATACAGGACTCCTTTGACCATGTAAAGGCGACAAGTACGACAACTGTTCTCAAGCCTGCAAGGATAAGTTTCACTGGGGCAGTCTGGCCTGATCCCCTTTCCACACTCATGAAAGGGAATGTTGAGGATGCTCCATCTCAATTTCTTTTCTGGCTTGATCTCCTCTGGTGAGGGGTCAATTTTAGCTCAAGGTTCCTATTCTAGGTCTTTGAAGACTTAGAATGATGACCTTTGGGGAAACTGCTCCATTAACTCATCCAAAGCACCAGAGGGAAAAGAGACCTCTTACCCACACCTTTTTTTCTGTTCTTTCAGAGAGAGGTTTTTACTAAAGACCAAAAACAGATTCACCCTAAAAAGGTTTAAATTCCAATTTGTCTTTTCCTGCCCTCAGGGTAGAGGTGAGAACTAGGAAATATCTTCACTGGGCCTGCCCCCACTTTCAGGAATGCAACCCCAAGCAGGGTAGACCGATAAGTTTTTAAGGTAGGGCCACCCCAGCCTAGGTGATGAGGTAAGCAAATCTGAAAACAGCTTTAGAGATCCCCAAGGCAGATGGCAGCTTGAGTTAGAATGGACATTAAAGGATCCAAGATCCCTTCTCTCTGGCCATGACTCCTCCATAGAACATGTTGCGAGGCTGACAAAATGGTAAAGGACAGCTGGAAGTTCCATGTCAGTTATGTAGGTAAGGCAAAGATCCAAGAGGAAGTGCACACATCCGCATCAGTAAGAACAGTGTTCTGGACATGGCAGTTCCTTTGGCCAACTCCAGTGGCTGCCACTAGCCCTGGAGGGATCAGATCTGAGCTGGAGGACACCCCATGTTATGGCTCAAACAGGCAAGTGAAAGAGATGTCCTTCTCTGCTTGGTCTTCAGAGCAGGAAACACGAATTCCACGGTTTCCCATATGATTTTGGAACTCACTGGAATCCATTAGATCAGTTTTATAAGAGAGAGGAAAAATGGTCAGAAGTTCCTTATCCAAGTATTTTTTGCTTTAAGAGATAATCCCAAGCTGCTCTAACAATGCAGCCTAGAGCCCAGGTCATTTGTGAATCCATCAGACCTTGCTGAGATTTAGGCAGCTCCATCTAAGACATCTAGTCTACCCTCAAAACCTAAGCTGCTGCCCAGGATAAAAGAAGCCTTTAGTCCTCCCTAAAGGGGACTACAGCCTCTTCAGGAGGGGAGCAAGGAAGAAGGTAGTGTTCTCCAATCCATGCTCCCTTTTCCTTGACAGATTTAAGGCAGATAAAACAGGATTTAGGAAGGTTCTGATGACCCTGATAAATAGAATTCCAAAGTTTAGTACAATCTTTTGAGGTAGCATGAAAAGATATTATGCTCTTTTTAAATCAAACAGCAACCTCTAATGAAAAGTAAGTGGTCTTAACATGCAGCAGATGTCTTTGGAGATGAATTGCATAATATTAATTATAGAAGGCCTGAGAAGTTACAGCCAGAGGAAAGTCCGTTTCCCATAGGGAGTCAGGCTGCTTCAAGAAAAACTCCCAATTGGGACCCTGATGACATTGAGGATGGAAAACAACTATACATTTCTGGACCTGTATCATGGAAGGATAAACCAATAACTCCAGGTTAGCTAAATTTACCCTTCTATCTTCAAACTCTGTAAAAAAGACAGATAACTCTTAAGGGTAAATTTCTAACCCAATCTGCCCCAGATACAAGGAGAATATTTGAAAAGAAGATATTTGGCCCTGGTAGCTCTTTAGAATCCCTGGACAAGCCAGTGTGGTGGCACATGCCTATAATCCCAAGACTCAGCAGGCTGAGGCAGGAGGACAGCTGTGAATTCATGGCTAGCCTGAACTACAAAGCAAGACTCTATGTCACAAAAAAAAAAAAAAAAAAAAAAAAGAAAGAAAGGAAAAGAATCCTTGGTCAAACTAGACACTGAGGTCTCTTATAACTGAGAGGAGGACAAGGGAAAAGAAGATCAGAGAAAGGCAGGTACATCAGTGGCCACTCTCTAGGAGGGAGTAGATATTAATCTCCTCAATTTTGGAGCTATTATTTCTGTTCTCCTGTCCAATCCTGGCCTGCCTACCTCAGTAAATACAACCACTGGAGGTTTGCACGAAAACTTATAGTCAAATATTTCTCACAACCTCTTTGCTGTAGTTAGGATGATTTTTTTTGTCTTTGCCCTTCTGATTCTTCTTACCATACTTTATTACAAGAGATCTGTTAATTAATGACCTATAAAAATAGTTCTGCCTAGTCTGTTTATAGTTACAAACCTAAAACAATAAAAGGGTTATTGTAGTTCAACTTGGCCAAAACATCTGAAAGTCTACTCTGATTTAAATTGTTTTATATAAGTGTGCCTATCTGTCTGTTTAACCTGTGTTAGTAACTGGTTAAAACACATACAGTGCTTTTTAAAAGAAATTTTTTTTGAGCTCAATAATTTTTCTTTTTTGCCTATGTACACTTCTCTTTTGGACTTTCTATAGAAAACTGTTATTCAGGATAGCTAAATTCAAAGCATTACCAGATGAGGGCTGTTAGCACTTAAAAGTCTGTTAACAGAAAGGTTATGTATGATTTAGGTTTAATGTATGTTTCTGCATGCTGACTTTCAGATATAATTCTCCAAAAGTTCTACTTAAATTGGCTTATAGATAGGTGGACACTCATGACATTAGCTCAAATGCTTGTGGTTCACGTAACTTAACAGTAGACTGATTTAAATCAGTTGGTAAAAGTAAAGATCTTTTAAAGTTGGTGACATTTCCATGCAGGTTGTTAGATAACCAAGATAATGAAGAAATTAGTTTTATAAGTGCAATATCTAGTATTGCCTCTGTACAATAATGATGGAGACCACTATGAAGCAGACCTGAGCAGGACTTAAATTAATCAACTGGCTTTTCATGTTCACTTGTGAATCTGTCCAAGGCCTAAACTCCTTATCTGGAAATAGCAGACTCATAGTAAGTGAACCTGTGTGAGTCACTAATCCCTACTAGAACCTGTAGTGGTGGATGAAGCCAGAAAGCCTCAAAGGACAAGACAAGATCACAGCCAAGGACACCTGGATCAGATCTCAACTAGATAAAGACTATAGCCTCAGGCATCTCATTCTTCAGTGGATTAACTTAATACCTTACTTCGAGAAGTCCTTGAGTGGTTCTGCCCTTCTTGAGTACTCCCCTCCCTTCTTCTGATAACCAAATAAATATGGGCAACCCAAAGAAGGTTGACATCTCAGCCGAGAGAATTTTGAGTTATGTGAGAGGGCTTTGATCCTCCTAGAGCCCTGAAATCATTCCATTTGCCTCTTTTTATTTAGCCTTCAGCATACACTCATTCAGGAGATTGTGGAACTGATCAGCCTGCAGTAACTAAGGGATGTATGTTATCAACCCCATACAATAATTTAAGAGTTCTTCCTGGATCAATATGTAAAGAGCATAAAAGGTTAACGATTGTGATGAGTCACCTAAGTAACTATTAAGATAACTAAGTGGGGACTCCTTAGACTTGGGAAACTCTTAGACTAAAACTCCCTTCTGAGGTTGAAAAAGCAGCTACCTAGACCAAATTTGTTCAGTTTTCTCCATTGACAGGTCCAGTGGAGAAGTTTTTCCAGTGTCTGGCTTTTCCCTAGAGTCTATGGTGCCATACCCCAAGAGTTATTAAGTAAATTATTATAATATACTTAAGTTGGTTATAATTAGAAGGCTAAGCTTTGTATGTCTAAAACAATCATTTTATTAAGAGAACTATTGGTTAAATTTACAAAGCTAGATTAAAAGGCAAAGTTTTCATATTCTACTAAGACAGTTTCTCATGTTTTCCATTGCTAGGCTTTTGGTTAATTAAACTGAGCTTTAAGAATTAAAAATTATTTAAGTGTTGACTTGTAAAATGTTTTCAATAATCAATTTAAATAAACAATTAGTTTATGATACAACCTTATATCTGAGACTAGAGATACATCTAAAAACCAGATTGCTGAATCTAAGCTTTAAAGTTAAATTTATACAATTAAAACTACACAAAGTTAATATATTCAAAGTAACTAATAAGTGCTCTTTTACACAATATACCTTAAACCTTAGACATAAAAAAAAAATCAAAATTTGGCTTCTCTTTAAATTTGGTCCTGCCATCTAAAGCTTAATCTACATCTACTGGCTTTGATTAAATAAACATTTTGTTATTATATAAATGAGTTATACTTATATACTAGGTAATAACTCTATATGTGGTCATAAAAACCATTTCCTAAATTTGTAAGAGTTCTAAAGATGTCCTTTAATTCTTGCAGTGTAATTATACCCTGTAAAACCTATTAAAAGAATCTAAATTTTGCCTTAATAAAAACTAAATATGTACAAAGATTTCTAAATAGTTATGACACTATTGCTAACCTCACGGTATATGAAATGTATTTATGTTTCCCAACTGCACAGGTCCTCAAAGATGCAAAGCTGAAAAAACATCATACAGTAACTTCTAGGCTAAAGTTATTTATGATGGTAAACTTTTTCAGCCTCAAACATCTGGCTTTCTGTAACTTGTTTTCCAGATACTTGTGATGAAATGTACATGCCAATTCAGTATGAGACAGCCAGCTAGATGATACAGATATATTTTCAGGCTTATGTTTGTGCGATTGTTATATAATTGTATTATAACAGTTAGGGGTACCTAAACACTGGAGTCCAGACAATGTCACTCTAATGATTGGAAATTAGGCATTAATAATATGAAAGTACATCTATAAACAAGTACGTTCTATTTATATGTCACTCTGGTAACAAAGATTGGTTAAAAGATACCAAATTTAGATAAAAGTTTCTTTATGTCACTTAATGTTTTGTAATTGATAAAGGTTAACTGATTAAAAAGTTGTTTTACACTAAAAAGAAGATTTAAATATTTCAAAGATAACAAAAAACTTAATGGTTCTGCTGACCATGATATCCATGATAGATTAAAAAAAAAAAAAAAAAACAGTTCTCTGTTCACTCTTTATATTTCAAGAGGCTTGATATCTAGATAAAATAGTTAAACCTACTGCTTCTACTATAATATTGGTGTAACTGATCTCCTGGGTGTTCAGCAACTGAAGTTTGGAGACCAAGGCTAAGAAAGGATAATTGGGCTAACATGACAGTCAATACCTTGGCCCTGGCCCTCCAAGGTCAACAAAGACCCAGGACAGGAGGGGACCTTTCCACAAGGTCCTATAATTCTGGAGTCACCCAACCTCCTGAGCAGAAACATTATTGGACCCCAGAGAACAGGAGTCAACCACTGTACACTGCTCAGAGGAGGGTCACTGAAGAGAAGAACGTATCCCGTGCTTCCAAAAGAAGCCACAAGGTCAAGCTAGTCCGTGACCCATCCTGGTGGCTGACACTGACAGACAAGAGGTTCTATACATGGTTCTGAAATTAACCCCTGAAGAGCCTTAACTACCTTGAAATGTATAGCAACAGGTTAATTTTGATTAACACAGGTCTCACTTTAACTTGATCTTAAACATACAGCAGAAAAGTATAACCAAAAAAGTAATATAGGTTAGACATTAAAGGGGGTTTCAATCATTATACTAACTCCTGCTAGCAGTCTCCAGCTACACCTGTAGTTGAGCACTATTATGGTTCAGTGAGGCCAGAAAGCCATAGCAGCAGCTATAAAAGCTCAACAAACTTTAAATTCCTTAATTAAAATTGTCCTTCAAAACTACAGAGCTCTCCATCTTCTTACAGATAAATCTAGCAGGACTTAGGTACTAATAAATAAAACTTGTGAAAAAAGATCTTAAAACCAAATAAATGTCAGACTTATAAATTACCTTCATAAACAGGCAGTTACAATCCCTACCGGAATCCCTTAAAAATAGTGTCTAACCTTGGCTCCTTCTCCAATTTGTTTTTTCATTCTGGTTCTTAAGTTTGGGCCATGCATTCTTTATTTCTTGGTAAAATTTGTTTCTTCTCACTTACTGGTGTCAAACTCAAATAGTCACACGGAGCTGATGAATGTGCTGGACTCCTTTTACTGGGGTCAACTAGATTGATCCTTTAAAGAGAGTCCATAATTGTTAGACCTTAACATGACTTCTGTCCAAGGCCCCTGAGAATAGCTCTCTGGAGAAAGTCTGACTTGGCCTACATCAATCCCTTTCAGGAGGAACAGTAAGATTTGCTCTTCCCCTGTTCTCCCTTAGCAGCAGTTAAAGGTACTTCATCATGGGGTGAAAAAAATTTTTTTTTGCGACAGGGTCTCCCTATCAGTTCAGGCTGGCCTTGAGCTCACATTTTGTAGCTCAGACTGGCCTTGAACTCACAATGATCCTCCTGCCTCAGCCTACCAAGTGCTGGGATTATAGGCATGAGCCACCACACCTGGCATAGGGTGAAATGTTAAAAAGTTTGTTTGGTTACCTTATGAGTAAGGCAACTAGCTAGACTAGAGGACCGGCCTGAGATAGAGTGAGGTGTCCAGCTATCCTGGTAAAAATTAAGAACAGACAATGAACCATGAATTTTGACAAAGAATGAATTTCCTCTGGCAACATAAAACGCAGTCCACCCCCTACTAAAGGAAGGCACAGCCACTCCCTATTAATTCCTAAATCTCAAGGAAATTATAATGCAAATTAACCCATTCCTTCAGAACCCAGTTTCCGGTAAACGTTAGAAGTTGGAGAACTGAGATAAAAGCTTGAGTCCCAACTGGTCATTTTAAATCCACAGAGCCACCTGTGATGGGACCACTAAACAAATGAGCAATTCCTGTGCTCTGTTTATGTATAATTAGCTCTAGATAAGGGGGCCATATGGCCACCCCATTTGGAAACCCAGGAGCTAGTCTTCTTCCAATAAAAACTCTCCAAACCTCCAAAAATTTTCAATTATTCAACTTATAGGCAAACAATAATAAAGAAATAAAGAAATAATTTTCTTTCTTCAGTGGGCCATGTCCATTAGGGCCAGGTCCATTAGTTAGGAGTTTAACTTTATTATCATTCTACTTTTCCAGGTCAAAGACTTGGTAAACTGGAGGGATTAGAAAACAATCAAAGAAGGATGTTTTCAATCTATTCTCCACAGTTTCTCTCACGTTAAATATGCTGGAGCTTGACCGCTATTATCATGAAAATCTAGTCAGTTCTTTACAACAGTTTCTTTTCTTTGCACAGCAAGCTTTCCTAGAAAATCCCCGCTGGAAATGGCCTAAGGAAGAGCAAACTAAGATAGCAATCTCTTGTAAAATTCATTATGGAGGGAGCCTTCTGGCCCAAGGACTACAAATTCACTGTTGTAAGATTCTGTTAAGATCTTTCCCCCTACTTGCTCCAAAACTGTCCTTTTAGGTAAGGGATAGCATGGAGGTTGGACCTTCTTTTTATTCAATCAGCCTTTTAACATTCAGCTCAAACACAATATTCTGATATGTGTATATCAGATATACGCAATATCAGTAAGTACCAACACCCAGGACATCTCGCTATGCTTCGTGCACTTTTATTTCTGTAGGCCCACTCTCATTACATCTAACCTACAAAATGCATCTACATCCCCTATTAAACAAACAGTTCACCAAAAACACTGAAGGAATATTTTTAAATTTTCTTTCTTTTTTTTTTTTTTTTTTTTTTTTTTTTCTCCGGTACCAAGAACCGAACTCACGACCTTGCGCTTGCCAGGCAAGCGCTTTTGCCGCTGAGCTAAATCCCCAGCCCTTAAATTTGCTTTTGTAACTACTTCCCTATAAACAATCTGTAAAATTTACTACTGGATTTGACTTTTTAGCTTTCAGTCACATATAGTCGAAGAATTTTTGAAAAGGTAATCTAATTAAACCTAGTAAAATTTGTAAGAACAGAAACTGTCTTAATGAAAACGTCACATTTTTCTGACCATCTTTCATTAAGTAGTTTCAATTTGGAGTTTTTCTTTTCCTATTTTCAAGAGTCTTTTTTCACCCTAGATCTCTAACCTGCAGTAACTACTGGATAAAAAAGGGTAAGTTCGTAAATGCTCACATCGACCTTTATAATGCCCGATTATGACTCCTGATATTACTATTCATATTATCAGTGCTGTGTGCTGTGGCATACATTCATTTTAGCGATACTAGACAGTTCCTCTAACACCTAAGGATTGTGAAGATAGTTACAGAAATTGGGTCCAACCATCAACCGTTAATTATCACGCCTCGCATCCACAGCAACAGCAAAAACAGCGTCTTCTACCGTCTATGGCCTGTGTTTCTATTTCAGATTGACCCGTAAGGAATTACTAAGAAGTCCAGAGGGTCGAGCGACCGGCCCTAGGGAACACCCGCGGCCGCAGAGGCCCAGGGAGGCCGGCGAGACCCGACCCGGAGGAACCCGATCCGGCCGCCAGCCCGAGGCCCCGCCCCCGCCCGCCCGAGGTCCCGCCCCCCGCGTCACGGGCCGCGCGGACACGCGCCTGGTTCTCCCCGCCCCGGCTGGCCGCGCGCTCTCAGGATAGCGGAGGCCGCCCTGCTAGGCGCGAGGTTTACTCACTTGTGGAAAGAAACAGGTTTATCCTTATCATATCGGTTCTTGCAGCCGTAGGCGGAACAGGACTGCACCATTCTTGTGTGTCTCCGTCACTTCACTTCTGCCGCCCTAGAAGGCAGGTAAAGGGGCTTTCAGTGTCGCTGCGCTCGACTTTGAGACTCTTGCTTCTTCTCTAGCTTTTCGTGAACCGTTACAGGGATGATAGCCACACTCCAGAGTGACTACTTTGCTCGTTTTGTTGTTTGCATTAGCGGAAGAACCACAGCCATCACCCGTCTCCCATCTCTAAGATGGCGGAGGCAGCTTCAACCTCACCTCTCGCGAGGAGTTCTTCACCGTCTGTGATAGCTCAGAGGTCAGAGGTAACGTTTCCTGCGAAGCACACCATTGGCTGAAGCCACGCAGATCCTCAGAGTGCTTAGCGTTGCGGAAGCGGGCGGAGCTTCCGCTCCTCTAGTCTCGAGAAAAGGCGTATTCGCGCGAGGAGGCAAGGTTGAAGGCGGAATTCCGGGGCGGGAATTCAGCCGCCCCTGGCGGTCCACGGGTTTGGAACGTCTGGAGTTTTCCTATTGGGGGTTAGCGAGGTAAACACGGAACCGACGTACAGCTGAAGTTGTCTTTGTACCCAGTTCTTTAAGTGGTGGTAGTTGCAGATGACTTACGATTTACACGATTTTGTGGGCCTGTTCCTGAGAGTGCTAATCTTTATCTCGTCTGTCTCTTCAGGTAGACCTTCGGGGGCGAGCCTTTTAGCAAGGAAACAAGACGGACATGCGCTGTGAGGCAGAAGCGCTTCTGAAGGCTGTTCATGGCCGCGAAATTGCGAGTGATTTTCTCTTCAGTGAAATCGCCGATGTACAGCCTGCTGCTTTGCCGCTCTCGTGTAGATTCCAGCCTGGAGAGTGGACTGTTGAATAATTGCTTGGTCCTTGAACTGCAGTTTCTGCCCCCATAAATGTTGATGTTTCTTCCAGGACCCTAACTTTTGCCCTTCTCGAAGCACCTTATCCTTTGAACTCAAGCAAGTGTCACGATTTCTTAGATGTTTTACTTCCCACATAAATACATTCCCTTGTTTTTTTTGTTTTTTGTTTTAAGACGGTCTCGGTGTGTAGTGCAGGTTGGCCTTGAACTCAGAATCCTCCTGCCTCAGTCTCCCGGATGCTGGGATTACACGCCTGCGCCACCATGTTCTGATTTCTGAATTTTCATACAGATTAACTGTTGAACAGTTGCCTAGAGCAGAAACTTTGGAATCATCTAAGATTTTTTTTTTTTTCACTCTTAAAACCCTTATGACTAGGTTTCTTTTATAGAATAAAATAAATACCTCTTAACTCTTATCTCTTTCATCATCATTCTCATCATGCCCTCGTGGTTAGCTGGGGCATGCTTCTTCTCTAGCTTTTCGATGAGAAAAGATGATGAGATTATAGAGGAACAAGGGGACAAAAGCATGCATGGCCTTGTAGGACTTTGAATTTGCTCTTTGACTAAAATGGGAAATAGGGATTTTGTTTGTGTATATGGTGCTGGAGATTAAACCCAGCACCTTGTGCATGCCAAGCAGGCACTCTCCCATTTGAGCTACATCCCCAGGACAGGGTTTTGAGAGAAGTAGCACAAATTTTAAAATGATTCATTCTCAGTAAGGAGAATGGGTTCGTTTAAGGGCTGGTCATCAGGTTTCTGTGGTGGTAAAAAAAGAGTCAGTGATCTTTCCTTGTCCTAGTTTTGCTTTTATTTCTTAAACTGCTACCATGGTAGGCATTATGCTATATCTGGTAGTATATTAGAAAAAGTTAATTTTGTATAAACCTGAATTTGCCTACCCAAATTGAAGAATAATTCAGTATGGAAGGAGGAATTTATTTATTAGAAATAAGCTCTTGGTAGATACTAAGAGGGAAAAGAAGTCCAACATGCTTATTTTGTCATGACCTTCTATAGGTGTGTGTGTGGTGGGAGGTGTTTCAAAGTTAATGAGTTCAAAGAATTAAAAAACAGACTGTGTCTACCGGTAGGGAAGAGCTGTTAACTTAGCATACTCTGTATAGTAAGTTTCTTTCCTGGGGAGAAAAGCCCCTCCTCAGTTCTTTTCCTAACCTTTTATCCCTTTTTCTTAAGTTTTCTTTCATGTTTCTAAGCTTAACTGGCTGATTAATCGCCTGCTTAAATCAGCTCCTTTGGTTGCTTGAATTAATTATTTTATCTGACCCTATATTGAAAGTTGCTCTGCCTACTCATAATAACTCCTATGTTAGGAAGACTGACATAGTTTCCATTTTCATAGGGTTTATATTTTAATAAGGGGAAGATAGAAAAAACGTAAAGTAACATGGTGTTAAATTGCCTAGACACATCAGAAATGCTCAGGGTGGACAGAGGTGGAGAAGTGTCACTACCTACATAACCTTAAGGTTTGGATTAGATCCTTGCTCAGCTCTTCACATAGACATGTTAATAACTTAAGGAGTATTTTCTGCAATAATTTGTTAGCCTTAAATTTACTTGGCCTAGATCATTCCTTTACTAGATAGGATACCAAGATAAAGGGGCTGGGGATTTAGCTCAGCAGCACAGTGCCTACCTGGCAAGCACGAGGTTGTGAGTTCGATTCCCAGTACTGGACAAAAGAAAAAAAAATATTTAAAAGTAATTTGCAGGATTTATAATGCACAGCTTTCACAGCATCAATTTCCAGACCTCCTGCAGCAAACTGCCTACTGTTTCTCCAGCCATTGTTCTAAATCTGTAGTCACCTTGGGTTTCAGGGAAAAGCATTGACTTGCAGATCATACATGATACCACCTCCCCTAAAGAGGTACAGTTGCCCCATCGGGGAACCAAGGTACCTGCTTCCCAAGCAAGACCAATCATCTCATGGGAACTAATTGTTCTTCCAGCTGTAAAGTTCCCTCCAGAGCTACAAAGCCAGAACTGAGATGACAAACCCTGGCCCACCTTAGCAAATTCATGAGGGCTTGCCGGTGTACTTTGTGAGGTACTAGTCTGAACTTCATCAGTGAGCCCCTTCCAGTTGCTCAAGCTAGATAGAGTTCATTATTCACCTCTTATTAACACATCCTGAAATTCTTTTCTGTGACAAGAGCTCAGAAAACTACTCTGGGGTGACAGAACCGTTGACCCAAGAATCAGGATGGAGTGAGTGAACAAATGAAGGTGAGGCTTGAGGGACCATTCCAGGCACAAGGAAATGTGTGCTAAGGCGCTAACTTGAGTTCTTTCTTTTCCAGTAACTGAATAGTGGTGATGAAACCCTGAAAGCAATGGGAAGGAGACAAAGTGAACACATAGTTACTGGTTTAGCTGTCAGGTGTAGCTGCAAGTAATGAACCTTTAAGCAGGGAGACAACCTGATCCTATACTTTTTTTTCTTTTTCTGGTGTTGGAGATCGAATTGAGGGCTTTAGACTTGCTAGGCAACTGCTCTGCCACTGAATACATCCCTAGCTGCTAATAAACAGTTTTAAAAGGTTACCTATAGTGAGATGACTTCAAGAGGAACAAAGTACAGCTGAGTAGTTAAATTAAGAGGCTGTTGAACATGAACAAGAAATGGTAGTAGCTCGGTCCAGTGTGGTAGCAGAGGGAGTGGTGAGATTTTAGATACCTAGGTGGTAGAAATGCTAGGGTTTGCTGATCAATGGTTATGCAAGTTAGGAACATAGGAATCTAGCTATGAAGAGTGACCTGAGTTTGAATTTCTAGCTTGAATGGCTGGCTTGAGCATTTAGATGGATGGTAAGGTAAAAGCCATTATTTGAGTTGCAGTTGACCTAAAAGGAAAAAAAAAAAACTACTTCCCCCAACAAAATAAATGTTATATAGGTCTAATATTCTAGGATTATTGAAAGACTATAGTACCAGGCAAATAAAAACTGGCTTTTTTTCTAAGACCTATTTGGGTTGGGTTTTTTTTTTTCTTTTTTTTCTGGTACCAAGAATCAAACTCAGGACCTTGCACTTTCCAGGCAGATGCTTGTGCCACTGAGCTATATCCCTGGCCCTTCTAAGACCTATTAGAAGTGTCATTAAATGTCACAGTGAAACCCATCAATGTATACAATTAATATGTGCTAATAATCATAATTTAAAAGTCAGATGTGTTACCATTTTGATCTGGATATTAGGTATTTTTAGTTTTCTTTGTTTTTAAAACTAAATCTCAACTGTTAGATAACGTAACTTTGAAACATCTTTAGACTTTAACCCTCTACATCCCATAGTACCTTCATTCCCTCAAGAAGCCTAAAGTCTGAGAGGCTCAAGCCTGCATTAGTGTTTTCTAATGGGGTATTTATGCCTCATGTGTGACATGGACAAATCCGAAGATGTAGACACATGAGACTGATAATGCCTCACACTGGCTTCCAGTCAAGGAGTGGATGCGTAAATATTGATGCCATGAAGACTGTCTAGTTCTAACAAGAAATGCTCAGGAGTATCTATGTGATAGTTTTGTCTCCTGTCAGAGGCAAAGCCTATTGGCCTGTTCTCAGGAGTTTCTTAAGACTGAGGCCCCAAAAGCCTTGAGTACCTCTTGCTTCTCCAAACCAGGCCCAGGTTTATGGACTGCCTTTAACAGAGGAGCCTAGAGCACACTCAGTGTTTCAAAGGGCTGGCTGGTGTGCTGGTGCATACCTGTAATCCCAGGACTCTTGAGGCTCAGGCAGATTGCAAGGTTGAGCCCAGCCTGGGTAATTTAGTGGAACACTCTCTGAAAAATACAGAAAATTTAAAAAGTGCTACGGATGTAACCCAGTGCAAAGGCCCTGGGTTCAATCCCCAGTACTAAAGAAAACAAAACCAACAGCTGGGAGGATAAGCATAGGGGGCATTGAAGGAGACGAGGGCACAGACTCAAAATTCACTTGTCAAATACACTTTTAAAATATACAATCAAAATGGAGGCAAAAAATCAATCTATAGAGAGATCTACAATAATCTATTAAACTCAACCGTTTTTGTCCAGAATAAATTGTCCAGATTAAATAATTATCCTTAAAAACTCACTTTTAAAATTTAAAAATATTTAAAATGTGAAATATCGTAAGACACTGAATGTTTACAGTAAGTGGGTACTAGACAGTGGGGAGGAATAATAGTGGGGATTGTTCTCTGATACAGAAGGATGATTACAGCTAACACTACTGTGTGATGTAATTCAAAACCACTAGATTTTGACATCACAAAGAAGTGATTATTTCAGATGGATAACCTAAATATACTGAGTTAATCAATACATAATGTGTAAGTGTTCTGAAATATCACAATGAACTACTGTCAGAAAAAAAGTTAACTTTATAAAGGGGAAAATATTTTTCCCTTTCTGCATTTTATTATAGAGTTCAATTACAGCTTAAGACAGAATTAAGTTGTAAGGTCAGTACTTAAAAAAAAACATAGAAAACTCATGTATAGCCAAAATTATCATTGAATAAGTACTTCAAATGGCCATCATAATAGAGTACACATAGTTTTGGATGTAAGCCCATAGAGGAACGTATATGTACAATAAAATGTCCACAGCAATTATGGGGTATAATTTAAAAGTCCATATGTAAAGTATGAAAAAAAAAATCCATTGCAGCCAGGCATGGTAGTGCACACCTGTAACCCTAGCACTCCGGAAGGTTGAGGCAGGACAATCACAAATTTATACCTAGCCTAGACAACTTACTGACTGAGACTTTTGTCTTTAAAAAATAAAAACGGGCTGGGCATATAGCTCAATGCAAAGGCCCTGGGTTCAATCCTCCGTACAACCAAAACAAACCAAACCAAAAAACCCCATTGCAATCATTGTAATTAGTGCTCTCAACAGTTCAGAAACAGAAACTACACCTTTTAAAAATTTTTACATATGCTTTTATTAAAAAGAATAAAATACTTGACAAACTTCAAATTATGAAATTCAAACCAATCAATCCTCCACACCAACTCTGTGAGGTAGGTATCTGTGAACCACAGGGATCATCACCGTGAGTCCTTCCGCCCTTGCTCCTCTCAAATGCGGAGAAGTGCGGGCGTGGAAACCACTGTTCAAGTGGCTGTAAGAACGACTGTTGCTCTGTCTTGTTCCCCACAGAGCTGCCAAGTTGTGGCCTCAGCTGCTCCTGGGGTTGGACCATATGTTTGTGAAAGTTACAGTATTTTTTAAAAACCAAAATAGTTGTTTTGACTTGTATGATGTAATTCTGAATCATACAAGTATTACTATGATGGTTAAAACACTGACTGTACTGCAAATACTCTCAGATCGCTTCTGTATTTATCACCAGTGATCAGTGAAGATGACCTTAGAATCAGTTCTAAAATTCTGAGATGTCAGAATGTTTACTATTCATTCTGATAAGACCTTAGATCATACAGTGCTTTTGTATATTACAAAATTTGGCACAATACATCTCTACCAAGAAAGCAGCAATAATTCCAGATATTACAAAGTTATTGTAACCAGAAATTTGACACTTGGAGAACATATACACAGAAAATAAAATCCTTTCAGAAAATGATGGTGCTATAGTCCCACATCAAATTTATCATGGGTAGGATATACATTTCCAGTCTAGTGTAATAAGCTCCTACTCACTGAACTTTTCAAACTGGTACCTGAGCTGAAATATTTTTCTATAACATACGTCTCTCTCTTAAAAGGATTGGTTTGAAAGCGCAGAATTAGGATTCATGAAGTCTCTGATGAGTCATCTTTCTAGATCTTTTTTTCTTAGGAGCATCTAAGTGTCTTATTCCAGTGAAGGAATGATACATTACCAAAGACTTAAAAGGATAGCAGTTTCTCTCCTGCTTCTCCTTAACATTCTTTATGTTCACCTAAACATCTACCAGTTCAATCACTTATTTGTTGTCTGACTTCACCTATAACTTTCATCAATACCTTGGGGATTTCATCTAGGAAAGTAAGGTAAATGCCATTCCTTCCTTACAAGATTTCCCTAAGGGTAAAATGAAAAGTATGTGAGGAATTGCTGGAATTTCAATGTGCTATACCTAAGCATTATTGTTTCTATGACAAGCAACAGCTCTGTCCTAGGTCCGAATTAGAAAACATAAATTGATATTTCATTCAGAATCTCATTAGCTGATAGCCAAGCTGATTAACAGGGGAAAATGTGACAGGTTTTCTCTTTTTTCGCTGTGTATATAAAATGAGGCTCACTAACAAACTAATGAATAATATTAGTATCAGTGACTGCCGATGACAATGCCACACTGACTGGTGGGTATCAACTGACATGCTGATGTCTTCAAGCCAATAATGAGCAATGCCAACAGAATGAGGAAGTATTTTGTAATCCTTGTGGTACTAACTAGTCTCAAACAGAAAACTGCAAAGAAGGCATTAGATACTCATGCCATGGTCATCAGAATACAAACACAAACATAAGAGCATCCCTGTGCAATCAAATCATCTCAGACACATTTACTTATTTTGCACAAGATAGCAATCAGGGCTGTAATATGCTGCCATCTAGGAGATAGTATTATAAAACTTTCTGACAACGGACAACCCAATTTTTCCATTCTGTTGTTAGAGCTAACCACTAATTTCTCTTGCCAAATTTAAATAGTGTTCCTGTTACCTTCCTAAGGGTTTGGTGGTAACAGACATAAAGATCCAGTTTCTTTAGAAATGCAGTACCACCTAGGCTCCTAAAACAATGTTCCCTTTATGAGTTATTTATGAGTATGCATTCCTATCAAAGGACCAAACTTTTGTGCAAATGTTGTAACTGTGAACATCAAGTATGCTTGGCTGGAGATAAATGTTTTCATCTTGTTATTCTTCTATTGATTAAAAAGTGTTCCATAAACTGGAATATGAAGTGAAATTATAAAGCTCAAGTTTCTTCATTCAGTTTCAGGTGGTAAGATAGAATTATGGCTGAATGGGAAATCAGAACTGCTCCCAATGCACACAACTTAGCTAGTACTAAAAGAAACACTAACTTTTCTCCAATATAATACAATATTTTATTATAACAAAAATATTTGTCTCATAGCTATATATTACTGTAGAAGTAGCCACTAAGGAGGACAAATGGATAAACTACATTTAACAATACAGTATTATATATCCAATTAATCTAAGTAACTTTGAGAGATAAGATGTCAAAATATCTTTTTAGTGATTTCATTTTTTCCAGAGACTTTATAGATAATATAGAATCAAGATACAACTGTAGGTTATTGTAATTCTCATCTTAACATCAGAACCCGCAACATATAAAAATTCCAGTTATGTACTCCTAGGTATTTGTCAAATGATAATCCGATGTTTGTCATATAATAGTTTCAACCTTAGAAGATAATAGATGATTTATACTGACAAGAGTCCTTCTGTTTGGTATTATGCTTTAGCTCAGATATTCTGGTTAAACTCTTTTCTTTATTCATCTGGTTAGCCTTTGGGTTATCACTTCTCGATACATAATAGAGATGTAGATAAGCAACAAAAAGATGACAAAGAAATCATCTAGAAAGCCTAAAATTCCAAACAATGCTTCAGGTACAAAATCTAGAGGTGATATAAGATAGAAAAAAGCTCCCATTAAACAAAGTATTATCCTAATGCGAAACATCCAGAAAAGACCCCCAACTGAAAACATTTCCCTGAAAGCATGTCTCAGTAAAGTGGGTAGATCCATGATTCTTTCCATAATCTGGTAGGGGGAAAAACAAATATTATAATTTAGCATCTAATATGTCAGATTAAAAGCAATAATTTTCTTACAATGTTCAAACTCAAGGTGAATCAAAGAGTTTCATGTATTGATTGGACAAGATATTCTCTCATTATGCATTTTACTTAAAAATAGTTCTTTAATTACTAGGTTCTTATAAAATAGGTCTTATTGCACAGTAATTTTAAGAAAGTGTCAATAAGCTTAAAATATGTGATATACAAGTTAAGTATCCCTTATCTAAAAACCCCAAATTGGAAATGCTGCAAAATCCAAAATGCTCTGAAATCGGAAATACTCCAAAATCTTTGAAACTCTTTGAGCATCACTCAAAATGGTTTTGAGCACTTCAAATTTTGGATTTTCTGATTAGGGATCCTCAATTGGTAAAGCCTATGCATATATTCCCAAATCCAAAGAACCCTGAAATCTGAAATTTCTGGTCCCATGCACTTCAGAAAAGGGATACTGAACTTGCAAGTCAGGTAAAACTCAAGTTATCTCTCATCTGAGTTAGTAAAATTAACCAAATCAAGAACTTAGTGTACAGAATTAGAAACTGAGGCTTGAGCAGCAATGTCAGCTATCTAATGAGATGGGCCTGAGTTTGAATTCAAAGTCAATCGCTTTTAGGCTGGTGATCTTGGAGACAGTTGTTTCACCTTTAAGAGATAGTTCAACAACTAACTGAGCATTTAGTAATTGAGCACTGAGTGATCCACAAGGATTACTAAGAAAAAAAGAAATTAAAATATACAACACCTTTGTAAAATACTGAACAGTATGTACTGTACAATAAAGACACACGAACTTTGAGAGGTATTTAAGAATCACAGTGAAATGGGTCCGCACAGTGAGTCATTTCTGGTTTTATTCTTCTGCCTGGAGTTCAGCTACTTCTAGTAATCTGCATAGAAACCTAAGTCTAACTTTGGATAGGTATTTTATTTACCAAGTGTCAAAGAGGAAGAGGAGACAAAAATTTTAAAAATTGAGTAAGTGAGGAGAAAACAGTTTTAAAAACTCTCCTAAAAAAACCTTGTAACTCCTTTTGGAAAAGTGGTCACAAGAGAACAAAAAATTTTAGAGTACCTGTTTAATATTAATTTTCTATTCTGGAATGGAATTAATTTTTTTTTGTTTGTTTGTTTGTTTTGTTTTTCTCCGGTACCGGGAACTGAACTCACGACCTTGCGCTTGCCAGGCAGGCACTTTTGCCGCTGAGCTAAATCCCTACCCCAGAATTAATTTTTAAAACAAAACAGCTACATAGCTTTCACAAAGCCTATGGTAAACTATTTTAAATATTATCATGAAAATCTAGTGTATCTTCTGAATATCTTTCTGTCCTTTCTCAAAGCTATTTTATTTATTTGTAATGTGATATAACATATAAAAATCTGTAATAATTAGGCAAGAAATACAAAGTTACTTACTAAGAAACATTTGTGTATTATACATACTTTTACTTCAACTGTGGAAGAATATCAACCAGCTAAAGGCCCTTTTTTATGTTGTAATTTCATCATATACCATAAATATATTGCTGGATCAAAAATAGTAAAACAGGTTTCTAAACAATTATAGATAATAATTGGACTTAGGTTTCCTTATTGTTTACACACCTAGAAAATGATACATGACATCATAAAACAAAGAATTAGGAAGGAGAAAAGCACACATTTATTTAATACTGAAGCATTTTGACAGCTTAATATTTTTGGCTGGGGAAGCTGGGTGTGGAGGCGTATACCTGTAATCCCAGCACTTGGCAGGCTGAGGCAGGAGGATAGCTGCAAGTTCGAGACCAGCCTGGGCTACAAAGTGAGCTCAAGGCCAGCCTGAACTGCACAGTGAGATCCTGTCTCAAAAGAGACAAAAAAAAAAAAAAAAAAAAAAAAATTGTTTTTTTGCTTAGGAGCCATAGTGTCAATTCTCATCCTAAGTATTCAACAAATGTTGAGGTCTATACCCCAGGCACTAAATAAGGCACTGAGAATATAGTAGTAAATAAATAAAACACAAATCCTTGCTCTCATGAACTTTTTAGTCTATTTACAGAGAAATAATATGGAAGACCTGGATTACTGTCTGTGATAAAATGCAATGAAGGAAATGAATAGGGGGCAATGCTAGTCAGAAATGCCTTTCTGAGAAGAGTATTTAAGACAGGTCTCATCTAAGAGATGAGAAGCAGGAAATGAGCAGAGCAGAGAGACAAAGCCAAAAAAGTATTTTGTGTGAAGACCTGAAAGAGGGAAGACCTTATGAGTGTGCTCTGAGGGATAAAGTGTGGTCATCAAGGAAAGGTACAAAGCACAGAGGAACAGAGGACTTGATCAGGTAGGGCCCTGTGAATGACAGGAAGGAGTAGGAATATTAGTTCAAAAACTGTAAGTTGTTTTTTTTGTGAGACAGAGTCTTGCTCTGTAGTGCAGGCTGGCCTTGAACTTGCGGCACTCTTCCTAACTCAGCCTCTTGAGTGCTGGGATTAGGGGCCTGGGTCACGTGCCCAGCAAAAAATTGGAAGTTTTAAAACACATGAGCAACATGGTCTGAAAATACTAGCTGAATTGCTAAGTAGAAAAAAAAAAAGTAGTTGGATTGCTAAGTAGAAAAAAAAAAGTACGGTGTGTGTATGTGTGTGTGTGTGTGTGTGTGTGTGTAGGAGGTGACGACGGCTCAGGCTAGCACAATGACTCTGGTGACTGAGAAATGCAGACTGTCTAGGTATTTTCATGAGGCAAAAATACTAGGCACCCAAAAAAGAGCAAGAAAAGGAATAACAGAAGTTATGGAGCAGATGAGGGAAATGTGACGAAGAAATCAAGACAGAAAAGAATGAGTCAACGGGGTAATCAGGTACCTGACCCAGCAAAAATGAGAGCCAAGCATCAGACTTAGAGTCTGAGCCCACAAGATGCTCTCCAGATAAATGTGCAATTAGTACAGTTTCAGTTCGGAAGTACACATTCTGTTATATTCACATGGCTAGAATTATTTGTTAGGTATGAGAAAACCAGAATGAGTCAGTCAAATAGGAAAATAGGGTAAATAAGACAGAATGAAACACAAAAATTATAAAACCTTCTCCAGAAGTTTTCTCACAAGACAAATAATGATTTACAATCAAAAAGTCAATAATTTTCTATTTGCCTCCATTTTTTTTTTTTTTTTTTGCTAGTTTCTCTTCTCTTTCATGAAGACGTTTATAATGCTTTTTATTTTTTAAGAAGGAAAACCGTGGCCTAGTGTGGTGGCATACGCCTGTAATCCCAGCAGTAGGGAGGCTGAGCAGGAGGATTATTTTGAGTTCCAGACCAGCCTGGGCTACAAAGTGAGCTCAAGGCCAGCCTGAACTGCATAGGGAGACCCTGTCTCTAAAAGGAAAAAAAAAAAAAGGAAAACTGTTACTTGGCCCAACACACATAATGAGAGTTTTCACAGTCAAAGAATACTTGTTCATAAATCCTACTTTACAAAAAGGAATATAATAGCTCTAACTTTGTACTATTATAACAATACTCACAGATCTGGGCTGCCCTGAGAATCTCCGATTATAATCATTAACATCTTGATACAATCTTACAACATCCTGAGATTGATCAGTGTCACCAAATACCGTTAGGAGTAAAGTTACCTACAATTATAGAAAAAAGCTATTAAATATTCTGCATCATTAATTTTTCAATTTATGTTTAAAACAGAATGAGAAAAGCTTTGGGGGGTAGTGGGAATTGAATTCAGGACCTTGTGCTTGCCAGGTAGGCACTGTGCCATTGAGCTATATCCCCAGCCCAAGAAAAGCTTTTAAATTCATATTTTACCTATTTCTTTCAATAAAGGGAACATATACGGGACACAAGTAAGTTACTGCCTTATAGTAAAATCCAATGTGGCTGAGTGTGGTGGCGCATGTCTGTAATCACAGCACTAGGGAGGCTGAGGCAGGAGGATCACCACAAGTTTGAGGCCAGCCTGGGCTACACAGTGAACTTAAGGACAGCCTGAACTACATAGCAAGACCCTATCTACAAAACGAAAAACAAAACAAAAAAAAAAACAATGTAAGGGGCTGGGGATGTACCTCAATGGTTGACGTCTTGGCTAGCCCCGATTTTGATCCCCAGCACCACACACACACAAAGTAAAATATATTTGAACTCCTATAAGCTAAAATGGGTACCATATTCAAACACTAGTTCTAATAGTTTCCTCCCACACAGGAATAAATTCAATAGTTCTGTTTGGGCACATATAACTTTGAAGATATAAGAATGATAAGAAAACATTCAGGAGCAAAGTGACATTAAAAATATATACAGCACCTATCACTTTGACAGGGAAAAGTAAGTATTTCTGCCTTGGTATCAAAATAACGATTCCTCGCTGGGTGTGGAGGTACATGCCTGTAATCCCACCTAGTGGGAGGCTAAGGTAGGATCTCAAGTTGGGTAACTTAGTGAGACCTTGACTCCCAAAATAAAAATAAAACATGAAGGAGATGTAGCTCAGCACTCCCTAGGTTTAACTGTCAGTATTAAAAAAGAAAAAAAGATTATTCTCACTAGTATTTGACATATTTTTGAATGCTACCATAATATGGATAATATTATAAGGAGCAACTCTAAACACTGAAACCTACTAAATAAATATTGTAATTCTTGATACTGTTGTAGAACATAACATCTTTAACATCTGCTTCCTCCACGGTTTTGGTATGAAGGATACACCAATGTCCCAGGACTATATTAAGATAATTTAAAGGCAACAGGACCTTGAAAAAGAAACATATTTAAAAATACAACCTACAGAAAATGCTTACTGCTGAGTTATAAGATAATATAAAAATGGGAAGAAGTATGACAGGTTGTTTTAAATCATCTAGCTATTGTTTTTATCCTTCTTTAGTTCAAACTGTAGAAGTGGGGCTTCCCATGGCTCAGATGTTTGCCAAACAGCTAGACAAAGGAATGACTAATCGCAGGAAGTAGGAGCAGCAGACGCAGCCATTTCTTCCTTCATAGATTAATAAAAATTCACCTGTCAGTTAACATTAATGGAACACCTACAGTAGGCCAGGCACTGTGTTGGTGCTACAAATACAGAACGAAGATGTGGCCTGCCCCTGAGTGAACTCAATACTCGAACTAGAAGGGGAGGCAAACATGTTCCCCAGTGGATTACACAGCACTAGGGGTACTGTTATAGCAATGCTGGAGAAGAAGGATTTCTGTTGGGGAGTCAGAAACCTTGAAACTTAACGCTAAGCCTGAACCTGTGGGTAGAACTGTTTGGTGTTAACGTACAGAGAGAAATGATGAGTGTGGTCAAGCCGAAGGCAGCAGCCTGAGCATTATTATTTCTGTGACCATTTACTAACAGAGCTCAGTGAAACTGGAGGCAGAGGAGTACCTGCCATCTGTCTTGCCTTGAGTTACTCTACAATTAGGGAAGTGATAGCTATTATAATAACATAACTCCATCCTTACCTTATTAGCCTCTAGTCAATATGTGGGTGGGACAAAGGAAACCACCTGCTAACATACAAATGTCCTATGAAAATACATGGATGAAGGAGACAAGTTGGGGACTAATTCTTCAGTGCAAGACCTACTACCAGGTCTCTATGTCACTGACAGCAAAAGATGGCAAATGGTACTAGTAAATTAGCTTCAGTGCTCAGTGTTGATTGCTTTGTGTCAATAATCAAATCAACTGAAGAGGCAATACAAAAAAATCTCTCCCTGAACTCATGAGAAAAAGCACAACATGGATGAGGTAGAATTTGGGATTACAGAAGAAAGGAAAACAAAAGATGTGGACTTCCCTTTCTGCACCAAAAAAAAAAAAAAAGAGAGACCAGTGATTGGTACCAGAATAAAGGCTGGAGGGCACATACAGAGTCCACCAAAAAATGTATACATGCTTTAGCAGTTCACCATTCAATTTATGTCTGGAAGCTAATGGCCACCACTTTGAGCACCTCCTACAATTGTAGAGGCCAAAAATAACTTGTATTAATTTCATGATGTCTCAATAAAATTAATATTAAAATATTTATACAAGTTTTTACTTTCCTGATGTATATATTTTTTTGGCTGACTATGTGTATGTATGCACAAGTATAAGACAATGCATATAATAAGGTTTCATGCGAAGGTCAAAAATCAGACTGTCCCCACCAAAATCTTAAGAGATACATGCTGAGGCAACACAATGATTTACAAAATCAAGGAAATGCCTACCACAAAAGTCAGATAAGAGCTAGCTTTAGGGGAAGAAGGAGAGTTAAGAGATTTGGAGGAAGCTCTATGGGGCTTCTGGGGCCACTGGCCAGTTTGTATTTTACACCTGGAGGTGACTACCACTGTTTCTCAGTAATTAAGTGTGCTATACTTTGTGAAATTTAACAGCCATAGAGAAAATCACACAAAGAATTTTTAAAAAGCTGTTGCCTTTTATCATTTTACTTTATTTTTTGTCTCTATAGGTTTAGGCTTTTACAAAATTCTCTGTTGTTTTAATAAAGTGTTTCTGGAGGGAACAAAAGTAAGTGTATGCATTTAACTTTTATCTTCATCTTATAGGCTGGAAGACTTCCAAAGAAAATAACATCTTTTTACATAATCATAAATTATTATCAGAAAGATATATTTTTGTTTAAAAGAAACTATTAAAAAGCACCTATATAAATGATAGAATGAACTCCTTTGCTATATTAAAAAAAGAAGAGCTTCAGTTTTTTTCAGAATTGTTTGGTTCAGTATTTTGTTTCTCCAATTTGTCAGAGAAATGGAGAAAAATTAGCAAATCTCCTCTCTGCTAATATTTGTCTTCTAGTTTACACTTATAAAATCTTAGGCCTTACTGATGTTTAATGTGTTTGAAACAAGTGTGGCTATGTCTATAAAAATTGAACCATTGAAAAAACTATTCTACATCACTTTAAGATATATAAACCCTCACTAAGGAAAGGCTAGGGTGGTACAGCGCTTGCCCAGCATGCCTGAAGCCCTGGATTCAACTCCCAGCACCCTTCCCCCAAAAAGCAAACACACAAAAGGCAGATTAAATGTAAATAAGAAAGGGAAAAGTCCCCTCACAAGAGGTCAGAGATATATGCATAAGTGTGATTAGCTAGTTCAGTTATTCCTTTACTGGTATTACAACAAAGACTTATGATTCTGGCAGCATTCATCAGCTTTTTTACTACAACTGTAGGATTTCAAATAGAATGTCTTTTTCCTGTATTATGTTAAAAAATGTTTTTGTTTTGTAAATAATTGAGTAAAATCATAGAAGCTTTAGATCAATGAACTTCTGCTAAAAAAAAAAAAAAATTCAAAATTTAGATATAAAATCTAAAATCTACAAATGATGGGCAAGGGGTAAAGCCTGGGCTCAGCAGTAAAGCCTGTGGGACTTGAAGGTCATATGAACTCAAAAACCCCAGAAAACCTCAGCCAACCAAATACACAAAATAAAGCAGCATAAATGATACTTTCTGGATATAAAACCAATTACCGTTTGTCTACAGATTGGACAACTGATTGCACCAAGCCAGGTACCATATCGCCAGTATGCAATAATGCAGGCACCTAATGGAAAAAAGCATTACAATTTTAAATATTTTAAAGTCCATAACATCTTAAGAAAGTTTCAAATATTTAACAATGTTTAAACATAGTTTTTGCTGGCCAGGCATGGGGGAGCGCACACGCCTGTGATCCCAGCACTCAGGAGGTTGAAGCAGGAGGATCACTTTGAGTTTGAAGCCAGCTTCAGCTATAAAGTTCCAGGCCAGCCTGAGCTACATGGCAAGATCCTGTCCCAAGGAAAAAAAAATATTTGCTTCATCCAACCAACCAACTCTTTAGGTAAATTCATATCTAGTAACATAACAATTTTCAGCTATTAAAAATATTTTTATATAAATTATTAAATAATATATATTTTTACACAGTCAAAATCAAGTAACTGCCTCAATGCAATCAAAATACCGTATTTCCTGTGTAAATTAAACAAAATGGTAAGTATCATTGTAAGTATGACAACCAACAAATCATAGCATAAATTTTTTGTTCCAAATTTGGTATGTATGGTATAAAACAAAATTTTTATTTTTTAAGAGCTTAGAAATCTAAGTTATATGTACTGATGTATTAACTAACTGTTGGTAGAAAAAGCAAGGAACCAACACATTTAAAGATTCTATGTTCTCTGTCCTAATAAAGTTTATGGTCCAGTTCAATAACTGAACCAACTCTTGTAATATGGGAGTATAATTTTTCTGTGTAAAGGTTATTCTTGAGCAGCAAAACAGCTGAAGACATCTAAATAAAGGAAGAGTTCAGATGACCTCAAAGAGTGCTGGGGAACTAAGTGGATAGGCAAAAAACTTCAAGAAGCTGAGCGTGGTGGTGCACGCCTATTGTCACAGCACTGGGGAGGCACAGTCAGGAGGACTACCACGAGTTCAAGGCCAGCCAGAGCTACATAATGAGTTTAAGGCCAGCCTGAACTGCAGCAAGACTCTGCCTCAAAAATCCAAAAAAATAAAAAAACTACAACTTCAAGGAGTACTGCTAAGATACACAAAAGAGTAAGCATTCGTAAACAATGTCTGGTGCTTAAGGGGCCAACTCACTTTTTCTGTTCAGGACATCTGCATCTCTAACTGTCCAGGTCCCATAGGCAAATCTGAGCTAAATGTTAAGAAAGTGCTGAACCAAGTCTCTCCTCTACCTGTGTATTCTTACTCCTACCTTAGAGACCTACCTTCACCCTCCTGTGTTCCTTATTCTTATTCTTCTACATCAGAATTCAGAACAAGCATAAGTAAGGCAATCCCACGGAGGCCAAGGTGACATACTTAAATCAGTTAGCAAGCAACTAGATCTTGAACTATATAGTATTAAGTAAAAAGGAGTATAGAGGCAGGGGGCATACTTATAAGTTTGGTGCTCTGGGAAACTGAGGCATGAGGACAATGAATTCATCAATTTATCTTTCTTTTTTTTCTTTGCAGTACTGGGGATTGAACTCACGACCTTGTGCTTGCCAGGCAGGCGCTTATGCCACTGAGCTATATACCCAGCCAAATTCATCAATTTAAAGATGAATTTAAAAACCAAATAATCTTTTCTGGTATCTTTGCTCTCAGACAGTGCTATATTAACTAATGTTTATTTATTTGTTTATTTAGAGACAGGGTCTTGCTGTATACTTCAGGCTGCCCTCAAACTTCCAATCCTCCTGCTTCAGCCTCCTAAGTGTTGGGATTACAGGGAGGTAATACTTATTAGGTACTTTGAGAAATCTAACTTGAAATATGAACTATAAGAAAACAAAACTTACTAATTTGTCCATTTTATTACTATCTGTCATGGTATTTTTTACTATCTGTGATGATGTTAGCTTTACTACCTTTTCACTCAGAATTCAATGAGTTTTGATATATACCAAACTCATTTAATCTTTTCCACAAATAGGGGTATAAGGGTTCTAGTTTTGCAAATTATGGAGTAGTTACTTGCCTGCCCTGACAAACTATGCCCCAGCGAATCAAATACTCAGTTCATTCAAATCTCCTATTAAATTCTTGGTTTCTTCCTCAACTTTCTCCTCCTGTAAAAAAGATAGCTGAAGTGGGTATCATGGTGTACATCTGTAATCATATCACTCTGGGACGCTGAAGTGAGCCCTGCCTGGGCAATTCAGTGATTTTCTGAGATAACCCCACCAAAACGAGCAAGCAAGCAAGCAAGCAAACTGTAAGTCTGCAATGGGACCTGAGTCTCCCAGCCCCAACCTGTTTGCTGGCAGAAGTACTACTGTCTGCAAGGAACTCAGCAGAGTACTGAAGTTGTCATCCACAAGCACAGCAAAGGAGGTACGATAGGACAAGGAATTCTGCAGGTCCTGGGGACATCTGGAGACACCCAAAAATTTACACTGGACACTTCAAAGGACTCTGTCCACTAAGATGCAAGATTGCCAGAAAACTTTAACCACAGATGTTCACTGGGATCTTCCTGTCTAATGTCTGCCTTCTCTCCACCCCTATAAAAGGGACACACTTCTCTCTGTTTGGGGCAGAAGGTCTACGCTCTCTGCCTGTACCCGGGCACAATAAATTCCATGCCATGTTGCCTTTATAAAAGCCTGGTGGTCTCTACTGGTTAAATATGTTACACAAACCAACCAACCAACCAACCATCCATCCAACCAAGTAGGGTGGTGGGTGTTACGGTTTGTGTCTGGATGTCCCCACAAAGCTTCATGCAGTCATGCAGTATGGGCTTTTCAGAGGCAGCTGAATCTAGTCTGTGACTAATTCACAGTCTAATACTGGGATTAAGGGTGTGAGTGCTATACCTGCCCTAGGGTAGGTAGCCTGGATAAAATATAAGGGATGGAAAGAGGCTTGCTCTCCCCTCTTGTTGTTTTTGCTGTCTTCCCCCGCCATGAACTGTTGCCCTCTGCCATGTGCCACCCTGCCTTGGAGCCAGTCAATTATGGACTGAAACCTCTACCTACTGTGAGCTAAATAAGCCTTTTCCCTTTAACTTTGGGTGTCAAGTACTTTGTTCCAGCGAGGAGAGAAAAGTAACTAAGACAATGCGCAAGATGACACAATAGCTTTTGTCAAGGTTACACATTCTCCGTATGTTTATTTGTAAGATGAGAATAAGACCTCTTAACCTTGCTGGAGAATTAAAAAAAATACTGTGGGTTAGAAAAGCAAATAAAGTGGTATCTGCTGGTGCTATTATTCTTAATTCACCATCATGAAAGAGAAGTGTGATTCTACATACAGGAACAAAGCTAAAGTGCTCTTGATATACATGTTACTAACCTACCTGAACTAGTATCCAAAAAGGCCCATTTCTGTATGAAAAGCTGAATACAGTAACAATTTTTTTTTAAATCTTTGAACTTATTGCTAATAAACAGAGCAGGATATCAAAAGCAATCTATCTCGCTGTCTTAGAAGTAAAATACAACACAGCCATCTCTGGATTGACAGGCTTATCCTCTGAATTAGCCAAGCCTGGTGCTCGCTTCGGCAGCACATATACTGAATTAGCCAAGCCTGGGTTGGTGAATAAACTCACCTGGGCTGCCAAACCTCATGACTGCTACCACCTGGAGGATTGTTAAGAGGGTCCTGAGGCTAGGTACATCCAGGCTCAGAAGAAAAGACTGTCAGATGGATTAGGAACATCTACCAGAGGTCTGAGACGAGAAAGGTTTCTGCCTCCTCTGGTGGTCATCACACTTTCAAGTATCTTTCATGATTTTGCTGCTTGTTATAGTTTGTGTCTAGATGTCCACAAAAGCCTCATGCAGTCATAGGGTTTTTTTTTGGAGGTGGCGAATCTAGTGTGTGATTGATTTGTAGTGCTATGCTGGGGTTAAGGGTGCTAGGATTAAGGGTAGGTAATTGCTGGATCAATCTGCTGACTAAACAGGCAATGTCCTAATCCTACTAGGCTGGGCATGATATAAGGGACAGAAAAAGGCTTGTTTTGCTCTCCTTTCTTGTTGCTTGTGCTGTCTTCCACGGCCATGAACTATTGCTCCTCTGCCATGGGCCACCCTGCCTTGGGCCTATTCCATTATGGACTGAAGCCTCCACAAACTGTGAGATAAATAAACCTTTCCCCACTTAACTTTGGGTGTCGGGTATTTTGTCTCAGCAGTAAGAGAAAAGTAACTAAGACATATCTCATTAGCATTTCCAACAGATAATTAAAACACTGAAATGAAAATAAATGTTTTATAATTTGTTAGTTATTTAGGCAAAAAAAAAACCTTAGGGAAGAGGTTGAAATGAATGGATGAAGCAATATGGGACTGGACTGCTAAACAAGTATGAGGTATAAAAACTCTGGATTGCACGGTAGGGATTTCAAATACTTACGTCATTTCCAACAGCATAAATACTAACACTGTACCTAAGAATTCTATGCTGAAGTCAAAGAAAAGATATAAAAGGGGAAAGTAATTTAGGGGATCATTGTATGCTACATTTTAAACCAGTCTTTATGTGGACAATTGGTTCATTTTGGAAATAATTAAGACCCTATCCTGGTATGTCTGAGGGAACAGGGTAGATGACTTCCAATGTCCTGTTCAACTTGTTAGCCACTTTTATTTAGTCTCTGTTAGATTCAAATGTTAAAGAATAACTAGTTATTCAGCTTCTCAATAAGCAGAAAGAAACACTACTAATAAAAAAAATCTAATGACTGAACAAATCTAAATAGACAGTAATATTCAGGGTAATTGTTGCATAAGTCACCAATCACATAGTGAAACTGAGCACAGGGCTTGAAAAGTGACCAAGGTTTAAAACCTGGCTCTGTTGCTTAGCCAGTGGAATATCCTTTTCTAAATGTCACCAAACCTCAGTCTTCTCATTTATGGTTAGACAAGTTTAAGCCTGTTCATGTCCAGCACATAGTAGGCATCCCCTACTCTTTGATGGCTATAACAAGCAACAACAATACAATACATCAATGTTCTCTAGTAAATCTTTTTGGAGGGTCAGAAAAACCAAGTGAGAAGCGCCCTTTACTACAACAGTAAGTTAGTGTGAAGTTGTATTCTCTTCTTGTCCTACTACATGCTCTAGGATTCTTATTCTCCCTCTCTAACTCTCTTGAGTTGACAAAGAAAGATAATGTAAGAACTTCTGTACTGACTCAAAGAGAGGTAGTAGAGCTACGCGAAGGTTTTAGGCATGATTCTTCAGAGAAGAACCTTCCTAAATGAAACTACCAAGAAGGGAAGCACAGGGAGGGATTCAGTGACTCTCTAATACCACTGAAATACTTGAACCACCATGCAAAGAAACAAATTCCTGTTAACTGAGAATCTGAATAGGTTTTTTTAAACTTTTGAACTCACAGATGCTAAACAACACAGAGTAAAAATTAAGTATACATGTAATAGTATATTACTTAGATGCTAAATATGTTGGGTCCACAAGTAGAACAGTATATCAGAACCAATCTACCCTAGAATCAGTGTACATATGTACGCCTTGATCTATACTTCCAAAAGCATAGGATAGTGTGCTTACCACAAAAAAGGTGTCCACAGTTTGTTTCAACAGGGAAGGAGGCTTGATGTAAGCAGATTGGACAGTACATGTCAGTGTAGAACTGCTGTCGAGCAGCAGCAGGTGCATCCTGAGAAGCAGACATGGATCCATGTTTATACCTTACATAAAGGGCTTTCAATACTATGTTAAGTTACACTTAAAAATATTCACGGTTAATCCTCATCACATTTTGGATATGTTGTACTTCAAGGTCTTGTGACATGGATAACAACAGCTCTGGAATAGACTACTATTAATATACTTAAACTATTCTTGCATTAATAAGGTCCATGAGGGTAGGAATGTTTGTTTAGTTCACAACTGAATTACCAATATCTCAAACAGTGTTCAGCATGTAGATGTTCAAAAAAATATATAGTGAATGAATAAATTATAAAACTTCACTGGAAATAAAATTTGATTTTTTTGTTTGTTTATGTTTTTGAGATAGGGTCTTACTGTGAAGTTCACAGCCTTGAACTCACTACATAGCTCAGGCTAACCTTGAACTCATGGCAATCCTCCTGCCTCAGCCTCCCAGGTGCTAGGATTACAGGTTTAAAAATAACAGTTGCCTCTTTTAGCCATTTCTTTGAAAGTCTGAGTGTATATGTTTTTTAAAAAAGTTTTTCCACATTTCAGATAAGGCCAATTATACTAATTATTTCTGTGCAAATAGATAGGAAAACTGTTCTCTTTTAAAGCAATTTAATAAAAACATGCAAACATTTGAATAGATTAAGATTTGGCAATTTGCTTAATCTGAAAATATACAAATCTGCCAGGCGTTGTGGCACATGCCTGTAATCCCAGAACTTGGGAGGCTGAGGCAGGAGGACTGCTGTGAGTTCAAGGCCAGCCTGGGCTACAAAGTGAGCTCAAGGACAGCCTGAACTGCACAGCAAGACCCTGTCTCAAAAAGACAAAAAAAAGGCCGAGGATATACCTCAGCAGCGCAGCACCTGCCTGAAAATATACAAATCTGAAGAACAATCTAAGGCCACTTAAAGCACTACAGAAACAATGTTTTTTAAAAATAATTTATTAATGTTTCAGCACAACTGCAAAACGTATACATCATATGACAGTACCTGCTCTGTTTGAAGTTGTTCTCGAAGCACCCTTACTAGCTCTTGGTTTTCTGGATGAATGTTCTGATGTGCATTTCTGTTAAGTAGAATATAATAAATGTTTAATATAAAATATTGTCAGATTAATCCGCTTGTTTTCTAAGTCTCATTTCATTTTAGAGTCACTATTATGAAAGCAAATGTAACTAATGACACTCAGTTGCACTCCCAAGTCCAGAACTGCACAATGTGGGATACTCTGTGGTGAGTTCTTCCCTGATTACTGACCACTGGCTAGTTTCAGATTTAACTGCCAAATGGTAAGATCCAGAGGCCTCTTAATTTGGAGATTTATTATAATCATTAAATAGTACAAACAATAAATACATTTATTTGTTTTGTGAAATTTCTTCAAAATAAGCAGCTCTATCTTTCTACATAGTATTTAAACATTTCCCAGAGGGATTAGTCTTTCTCTAACTTTTCAGTTTGAGAGGAGGGGGACAAAGTAGAAACTAAAATTATATATGTAGAAAAGCCAAAGCTTAATATACCACTAATATCTTAATATTAACTTGAAAATGGAGAGTGAAAGCTAAGAGGTTGGTGGTTAATATAAAAGGATGAGTTAAGACAAGCTGTGAAATTCAAGTGGAGGTCAGGTTGCAAGGTGGGGGTGAAGATTACACTTGAATCACAGTTCAACCTCCTTTGACTATCGACTTTTCCCCTTAAATTTAAATATCTTGAACAATAATATTCTAGGGAGCCTTACATTTTGGGTAGGCCATATTGAACAGAAATAACTCTAGCATCCTAGTGGGATAGAAAAAAATAAAGAAATCCATCCTATAAATATCCTGTTTTGGGAAAATTCAAATTTTACCAAGACAGTGTAGAAAATACAAGCATGAGTTCAGAAAGGATAGAAAACCAACTTAAAGTCAAGTATCTACGTGGAAGTATAATATAAGTGTAATGAAATTACTGAATTGCTTAAACTTGAATTTGGGTGAATTCTTCATTTCAAAACAAGTTACACTTTTATCACTGAATTAACGATCTGTGAAAGAAATCTATCTGTATAATGAAAGCAATCTATCAAATTAACTAGCCCAAGAATCATCTCATTTAAATACCAGTGAAATCTCAGCTAGATAAAATTCTCTATTCTTTGAGAACAGAAAATCACTTCCTTTTCATTGGAAGAAAAAAGAATAAGATTTTCCAAGTGCAGACCTGAACCATGTGCCTAGAAAGCCTTTCACTGGGCTTCTTTCCATACAAAGGGAGGTGTAAGATTCCTTAAAGCTACAGTAGAATTACTAGTAAAGTCAAAATACAACCAGTGAACAAGAATAGCCCAAACTGCTGAATACAGCCAAAGTTAGGTAACTAAACGTCACTGGCAGCTAGAGGTATGAGTATAGAACCAAAAGTTTAGAAACAATGGGATAACACAGACTGAAAACCAAACAAGAAAATCTGGGATCAACTTAGTTATAAGAAAATGACAGATCACTCTGGGTAGTATGTTCATCTTTCTTCCAGTCTATGGGAAGTCTTCATTAGTGTGTGTGTGTGTGTGTGTATTTTCTCTCAGCAGTGTTTTGTACCTGTAAATAATTTATAATTCTATTTGTTCTTCTTTTAAAAAATATTAGTGCATATTTGCAGTACATAATAATTACACTCATCCTGGGGAGTTAGTGCATGCACAAGACTCATCTTAATTCTTTTCTCATGCATCTCCTCCCCTTACTCTCCCTGCATCTTCTCAAAAGGAAGGTTCCCTTCCCTTTTGCAAAAAGACCCCTCTCCCTGTTTCCTATTGTTTTTCTTTTACTTTATTCTTTATTTTTGCTTTGGATTTTTCATATAAAAGAAACAATGCAATATTTAAGCTTGTGTGTCTGATGTATTTCATTTCACATATGGTATCAAGGTATATTCATTTTCCTACAAACAACTCAAATTTATCCTTCTTTATGGAATTGTGGCATAATTCCACTGGGTATAGACAGTACATTTCCTTTATCCATTCATCTGTTGATGGATATATAGGCCACTTCCAAGATTTACATATTATGAATTGTGCTGTGAAAAACATGGGCAGGCATGTATTACTGTAATATGATGTCTTTTAATTTTTTTCAGGAAGATACCTACGAAGGGGGAATAGCTGGGTTGAATAGAATTTTCAGTTTTAGTTTTTTGAAGCATCTCTATGCTGATTTCTGTAATGGTTGTACTATTTCATATTCCCAACAATGTAGAAGTGTTCCTTTTTCCCTGCAGCCTTGCAAGCATTAGTTACTACTTGATTTCTTGACTGCTATTCCTTCAGGAATATGGAATCTCTGTTTTAATTTGCAGTTCTCTAAACGCCAAAAAGTTTGAACATTTTTCATGTATTTATTGGCCATTTTTATTTCTTCTTATATGAAGTATCTATTCATTTCAGTTGCCCATTTTTTGTTTGGGTCTTTTATTTCGGGGGAGTAAGTAAGTTTTTAGTTCTTTATATATTATAGTTATTAGTCCTCTGCTGAGGTGTAGCTGGCGAAAGTGTTTTCCCCACTGTGTAGCTTGTCTCTTCACTCCACTGGTTGTTTCTTTTGCTGTGCAGAAGCTTTTTAATTTGGTTTCTTTTTTTTTCTTTTTTTTTTTTTTGGTTTTTTCGAGTACCGGGAATTGAACTCATGACGTTTCGCTTGCCAGGCAGGCACTGTGCCGCTGAGCTAAATCCCCAGACCCTGAAGCTTTTTAATTTGATATAATCCCATTTGTTGATTTTTGATATTATCTCCTATGCGATGGGGGTTCTGTTTAGAAAGCCCTGTTCCTCCTCAAGGTATCACTACCAGCTCTCATTTGTTGATATATCAGAAACCAGTCCAAAGGGTCTTGCAAATTTCTATAACTCAATCCCATCTATCTTTCTTCTCTTATGCTTTGATGTATCACTTCTTTCTTCAGCTATTTTTTGGTACTGGGACTCAAACTCAGGACCTTGTGCTTGCCAGGCAGGTGCTTGTGCCGCTGAGCTATGTCCCTGGCCCTCTTTCTTCATATTAAAGGTTACTGGTTCCTTTTCGGTAATACTCACAACTTAACTGGTTTGACAATTTTGGTTTTTTCCCTTTCAAAGACAAAGAAGGACCATATATCATTGATATTCAGTAACAACAAATGTATTTGGGTTCTGTATTTGAGTCAATGCCTTTCTTAGCATCTTACTGTGACCAATTTAGCGATGAGAAAATGACAGGACATTATAAACCAATGGACTAGAACACAAGAGCTCAGAAAGCAATTCTCACATATATGGTTGCTATTGACTAAATGTTTGTGGGACCCCCCACCCCAATTCTTGTGTTGAAACTCTAATCCCCAATGTGATAATATCTGGAGATGAGACCTTTAAAAGGTCATTAGTTCATAAGGTGGCACTGTAATGATGGAATTAGTGGCCTTATAAGAGAAATGGGGAGCTAGGGATGCAGCTCAGTGGTAAAGTATGTGCTTAGTATGTACAAGGCTGGGGCTCAATCCCTAGCACCACACATGAAAAGGAACATGGAAAATATGCCTTTCTATCTGTGTATCCTTTCAGGTGAAATTACAATGAAAAAGCAGCTATTTGCAAACTAGGAAGTAGGCTCTTGCCAGACACTAGACCAACACTTTATTATACAGTTTCGATCTTCAGTCTCCCACAAACCTATGTGTTCGAGGTCCCCCGTGCCCATGGTGGACCTACTAGGAGATGGAAGGGCTTAGTAGCAGGTCTTTAGGGTCCTGGGGTCATGTTCTTAAGGCGATCTTGGGGCCTCAGTCTTGTCCTCTTTCTTCACTTTCCTGGAGATGCATGAGCACTTTTTGCCCTGCCATCTGCCATCCCTCCCGGTGCCATGATATATTGCCTCACAAAAGGCCCCAAACAATGGGGCCAACTTACTGGAGCTTACTGGATCGCTTACTGGAGCTTCTGAAAACAGGATCTACAATAAACCCTTTCTCTTGGTGAGCTGACTATTTCAGGTATTGTGTCACAATGACAGAAAGCTAAGCTAATACACCTTGACCTGGGACTTCCCAGTCTCTGCCACCATGAGAAATAAATGTTGCTCAAGCTACCCAGTCTATGGTTATTTGTTGTAAGTGCCCAAACTGGCTGAGACAATGGTCAACAGATTTTTGATAAGGGCATCAAAATATTCAATGGAAGTACTGTACTTCCAACAAATAGCTAATGAGTATATGAAATGATAATATCATTACTTATTTGAGAAATGCAATTCAAAACTGTAATGAAATACTGTTTCACTCCCATGATAGTTAAGGGAGAGAAGAAGAACGAAAGAAAGGCAGAAAAGTAAGTACTGGCAATGATGCTGTGAAACGGGAGCCTTTATGCATGCTAGTAAAACAGAGATGCCATTGTGGAAAACAGTTTAGAGATTCCTTAAAAAGCCAAACATACCAGCCTGGGGAACCCAGTAAGATACTGTCTCAAAGAAAAACAAAAACAGAATTACAATATGACCCTGAAATTCCAAGTAAAAGCAAAGACTCAAAAAGAGAATACAGCAGTGTTCATAGTAGCACTATTTACTAATCTACAACATCAAATGGTGAGAATAACTCAAGAGGCTATCAAAGGGTGAATAGATAAGCAAAAAGCGGTGTACACATATGATGAAATACTATCTAGCCATAAAAAGGAGTAAGATTCTGATTCATGCTACAACATAAGTGGACTTCGAAAACACTATGTGAAGTTAGCCAAACACAAAGGGACAAGTATTGTATGATCCTACTCTATGAGGAACCTAAAATTGGCGAATTCATTGAAACACAAAGTAGAACAGACCTTACCAGTGGCTGAAGAAGTATCAGAATATGCTAGCTAAATGGGAAGAGATTTTTTGTTTGGGGTGATGAGAAAGTTTTGGAAGTAGATAGGGATGATGCTTATACATTGTAACTCTACTAAATGCCACTGACTTGTACACTTAAAAATGGTTAGAATGAAACTGGGCATGGTAGCACATGCCTACAATCCCAGCACACACAGGGCGAGGTGGGAGGAGT